GTAGGGAAAAACAGTTATGACAAAATACCCTCCAGGATAAGTTGTTAGTGAGAAGTTGAAGGGAGGCGTGTACGTATTTTTTGAAGGGAAGGTGTGCTCCTACTTTTGACTTTATATACCTCTATGTTTGGATTTTTTTTCTCTCATGATGCAAATAATATTCGTAATTTCAAAGAATTTTTAAAGCAGGTAATAAAATATTGTGTCTAATACGATCACTTTCATTAAATATGTATGTCCATATGTATTCATTTATAATGGGAATCCCCTGAAAGTACAGTCAGTTCTGCAATATTTTGAAAGTACAAATTTGTTTCAACAGGATTAATATATTATGGAATAATTTGAGTGTGCCATCTATGTTTGTATGTGATTTTGTCAGGGATAATTTCCGGGTGAATGCTAAAGGTAGCGCCCAACTAAACAGAAAGGCTTAGGAAGACACAAAATGCACGCATCTGCACGCAACTTAAACATCTACCAGTGTCCCCAGTCTACCTATGTGTTATGAACTATAGTATCCTGACCTCTGGTTTTACAACTTTCTGTATGATTTCAGATAAGCCTCCTCCCATACTCCACAGTAACTCACAATCTGCAACTCTTCCAAGGCTCGCTTCCATGAACAAAGGTCAGGTCAGGTCTTTTTCAAGATGAAATACCATATTTATTGTAGTATTTATGCATTTCTTCACCATATAACATGTGTTAACTACAAATTGGCACTTGCCATTGGTACTTGCCATCTACCTCTACAAGGATTAAATCATGTGCTGCTGCAGCTGCTGACTTTCAACACCCCCTGAAAGGAGCTCAGGGTGGAGAGCAGAAATGAGGCATTCTGTGCTCTGGGAAAAACTGGCAAAACAGGTCTTCAGATAGTTAGATATTTTCAGGAGACGATTTTATGAGCCCAATTCTTGTATCTCCTCATATCTAGAAAAGCACTAAAATCCTGTATGGTGACTTCTGTTCCTCGTGACTAGCAGTAACCATCACGAGACTAGCAGAAACCTTCTACAAAACATATGTGCTTGATTGCATGTACACCCCTTCGCCGAAATCACATATATACTGACCTTCTCCCCTACCTCTTTGGAGCAGTTTTTCAGACCTATCTGAAGTGCTGTCTCCCGGGCTATAGTCCTCATTTTGCCCCAGATAAAACTTAACTTGCAAATCTCACGTTGTGCATTTTTTTCTAAGTCGACACGTGCATGTGTAAAAGTGTGCTACCATTTTTATTAGGTTCCGATTTTTTTCTCCTTGTGGACCATTAAGACATTTTTGAGTATTGCACTCTAATCCCATTTTTCTCATTAGTCCCATGGTTTTTACTGCACAAACTTGCATAGTGCAGCGATTTTTAGCAACAAGTATGTCATATGACAGTGGAACTGATTATACATGTATCAAAATGTTAGTAGTGTCTCTGGGTAGTAACTTATTTGTTGCTTATCTATAGTATCTACTTATTTCTCCTAAAACAATCATGTATTAATAATCTAATTAAATCTACGTAAACATTTTTAAAAGATGAGGTGGTAGCCAAAGCATGACCACAGCTTTTCTAGGTGGAGGGCTAATCAGGAAAGCTCCATTACTCACTGGTGATGCAATCAATTAAGGGCCTTCTAGTCTACCTAAGAGGCACAGTCAATGTATAGTCCTCCTGGAAAACAGAAAAGGTCTCTCAGCAACATCTTAACAGCTTCTTCAGAGTCCCCATTAGTGCTAAGAAGAATACAGATGTGAATAGTTGAGATCCATTAAACAATGCAAATCATGCAAGAAGCTACATGCCCCTAAATTGGTTTTCAAACATTCAGACATTAACATGATACACATCCAGAAATATATAGGCAATCACCAGTAAGATATATTCAGTGCTTACGGACTTTTGAGTTTAGTCTTATTAAGTGAGATTAGAACACCTTGTCTTTTCAGGAAATGTGACTCTTTGGGGAGACTACAAACCTGAACACAATGTGAATTTCAAAAGGGAGAGAAAAAAATGTATTTTCCTTATGTGATTCGAGTTTTGAATTTCCACCCACTTTTTCAGAGCGAACTTTCACCTGCTATCACTTTTTTTCTTCTCCTTTCCAAGGAGGTATCATGTGGTTTTGTTTGTTTGTCTTTTTCTTTTTTAATGATAAATTATTCCACCTGCTGCCAGACTCCACTGTTTATCCTTGATTTGGGCAGCAGCCCTTCCTTCCCTCCCCATCCCTCACGTGCACTGTTTCTGGGACAGCATCCCTGAACTCTGAACTCATTCCTGATTGATCCTTGTATTTTCCTGTCTCTCCACACAGAATCTGCTGTTGGCTATGCTCTGTGGCGCTTTGTTTTTAGCTGTTCTCTGACAAAGGGCTTGATCTGTGCAGCACATCTCGTCCTCTTTGTTCAGCCTCTGGCTTCAACCACTGAATCACAAATACTCTCCAGCTGGGAGTCAGACAAGGGCAGAGATGAAGAACCCAGAAGCCCAACAGGATGTTTCGGTTTCCCAGGGAATTCGCATGATGTTTTACGTGATGAAACCCAATGAAACGTCATTTGAAACCCTGGAAGAGGTGCCTGATTATGTACAAAAGGTGAGACTCTTAGGTTGCTTCTGTGTCCTGGCTATTGTAAACAGAGCTTCAATGAACATTGTGGTACATGACTCTTTTTGAATTATGGTTTTCTCAAGGAGGTGGATGGACCTGGAGTCTGTCATACAGAGTGAAGTAAGTCAGAGAGAAAAACAAATACTGTATGCTAACACATATATATGGAATCTGAAAAAAAAACAAGAGGTTCTGAAGAACCTAGGGGCAGGACAAGAATGGACTTGAGGACACAGGGAGGGGGAAGGGTAAGCTGGGACGAAGTGAGAGAGTGGCATGGACATATATACACTACCAAATGTAAAATAGATAGCTAGTGGGAAGCAGCCGCATAGCACAGGGAGATCAGCTCCGTGCTTTGTGACCACCTAGAGGGGTGGGGTAGGGAGGGTGGGAGGGAGACACAGAGGGAGGGGATGTGGGGATGTATGTATATGTACAGCTGATTCACTTTGTTATACAGCAGAAACTAACACAGCATTGTAAAGCAATTACACTCCAATAAAGATGTTAAAAAACAAAAAACAAAAAACGGGTGAGACTCTCTGGGAAGAGGCTACTCTTGCTTTTCTCTGAATAAGAAGTAAGTTAAGCACATTTTGGGGTTTCGTTCATGTTCATTCTTCAAATAATTCTAATAAAAAATAATAGTTTCAAAAAAGCATGGGGCAAAAGTAGAATTTCCACTTGAATTGAATCTCCATGCAGTATCCATGACCATCTTCTCCTATTAAACTTGCCTTCCCTGATATGTTACTCCAGACTATGATAAAACTTTTAAAAAGTTTTCCTGGACACAGTGGCCTTACAAACTTAGCTGTTAGAAGCTCAGTAAGCTAGTGGTTATGTGACATCACTAAACTTTGTAACAATTTTGTTTCTAAAGGGAAAACTTGTCTACCACCTCCCAGGAACGATTCGCTCTTTATTTTAGCAGCATAGTTCTGCAGAATGGATACACAGCTGACTGAGTTCAACCCTGACTTCCCAAGTCTCAGCTTAAACCAAGTTTTCTTTGAAACTCAGGTGTTCAGAGGCATGTTGCACTTCTGGTTCCTGCCTATGATTGGAAGTGGAAATATCCATAATTAGAACTTGAATATTTAAGTTCCCCACCCTGTCAAAGTTGTTCCTACAACACTTACTAGTTGAGATCAGAAATAGAAAAGAAAATGACATCAGAGAATATGTTCTTGGGAGTTCAGTTTAGAAAACTTCAGTACTCATGATCAGCTTCCAAATGAGTGAAACCTATAACTTTTTCAGGATTTGATTTTTTAAAGAAAAAAATGTGGTACTCGCATCTTCATAAATCATTTTTTTAATATTATACCAAACCTAGTCCAATATTTGTCATCAATTGTGGATGACAAGAATTTTTTTCTGTGATATAAAAAAATACTGTATGAATAAAACTTGATGCCTAAAACAAGCATTTAAAATGACCTCATTCTCTGAAATACTCAGAAGCAAATATTTTGTTCTTACAGTTTCAATTTTGTGATTCCTGTAATTCTAATATGAAAAACTAGAATCATGTGCATCCTTAAGGACAGCCTTTTAAAGTGGGCCTTAGGCATGTAGATAATAGACTTCTGATTATTGCACTTATTTTCAAATGTACTTTTCTAGATCTAACTTGAAACACGTCCTGCCTAATCTTTTTATTTTCTTGGCAGAATTATCGTTGTTACATCTATAGTTATATTTCATGTCCAAACTGGATGATAGAATTTGAGCACCTGTTTAGTGCGTGTCTGAAATAATCAGATTTCTTTGCCTGTTGGGAGGAAATGATTCTCTAGGATACGTATATACCTTTTCTGCTATGAACTATCACTCTGGGCCTCCCACTTTGGGAATGACTAATCAGGAAACTTGGAAGAATTTCATACCAAGCACAATAGCATCTCTTTTCTGCAATTTCCTTTCCAGGCAACTCCATTTTTCATTTCCTTGATGCTGCTTGAACTGGTTGTCAGCTGGATTCGCAAAGGGAAGCCATCGGGTCCTTTGGATGATGCCCTAACATCGATATCAGCCGGTGTTCTGTCTCGGCTTCCGAGGTGAGTTAGTTGGTTAGCAACACTGAGTGAATAAACTGAAATTCTCCAAGTAAGATTGAAAAGAAACCCATTGTATGGGGAATTGGTCTATTTTCACATACATCCCCAAAGAACTCAGTTACTGTCCTTATTTAACTTTTTGATGTTTTGTTCATCATGGAGCTTTTTACATTTGTTATTAAAAATATTGCTCTAGGGCTTCCCTGGTGGCGCAGTGGTTGAGAATCTGCCTGCCGATGCAGGGGTCATGGGTTTGTGCCCCGGTCCAGGAAGATCTCACATGCCGCGGAGTGGCTCCACAATGGGAGAGGCCACAACAGTGAGAGGCCCGCGTACAGAAAAAAAAAAATATATATATATATATTGCTCTAAGTATTATTTACCTTAATTACTGAATTTGTTCGTGCCTTCTTAAATTTTGTGCCCAAGACAAGTGCTTTACTTGTATTACGCTAGTCCCAGGCCTGAGTGATGTTCTAGTTATCTATTGGAAAATTAATTTGGCCTCAGGTAAATTCATATGCTGTAGCAATCTGGGGTGCAGACACTCCCTACTCAAAGTCATACAAAGCTCTGGATTACTACAGTGGTCTCTTAAGTGGTATCATTGTCTCTAGTCCTACTTCATCTACAGCCAAACATTTCCATAATGTGAATCTGGTGGAAACTCTTCATAGGTTCCTTATAGCCTGAGGAATATTTCTTGCCTGATTTATGGAGGCCTTTGTTTATCCAGCTTTGCTTCTGGTCCCTTCTTTCTTCTCCCCCCTTTGCAGTAGTTGTTCCCTCCATACTCTGCTACTTGCCATTACCCAGATGTCTCACGTGGTCACCCGAGTGGCCAAATCCCATTCATTTCTTAAGTCTAAGCATAGACTTCTCTTAAAGAGTCATACTCTTCAGCAAATCTTGCCTGTTTTCCAGCCCTGTTTTAGGCACCACTTCACTATGGGCTCTGTTCACTGTGGAGTATTCTGCTTACCCCATAATAGAATTGTCACATGATATTAAACTCACCTGTTTGCCTCCCAGCCCTTCCTGCAGGCTTGCATGCAACTTGGGAAACAGGTGTTCTTTTAGTTTTAACTCCTATGCCTGGAATGATGTCTGATACATGGTCGATTTTTTAAAATAAAAACACCTAACATTCCTATAGTGTTATGTTGATGGTGAAGTCTGAGGATGAAGGGACCAAAAAACAGTAAACAATAAATGACCTACTACTGTTTAGAAAGTAAATTGTAAAGTGTTTAGAGGAGATACCAATGAATGGAAGACTCTTCAGTATATGAGAGTTTTCCAAAGAGCAGAGGGTGAGGGAAGATTCCCTTAGAAGTCTGTGCTTTGCGTTGCTGAAGAATGTTCTCATTCCT